TAATAATAAAAAATACAACGCTGACTGTAACAGTCTCCTCTTCCATATTCAACAAATTCCTCTCCACTCCTACCAACCACAGAGGTCTCATCCCTGTCTGATTTCGCTGGACTTTTCCGTCCAAATGCTGATCTACACTTGTAGTGTCCAGACCACTAAGTCCATCATCCCTGGACCACAGTTTTCACAGCTGCTTCCATGTGTGCACTGACGCTGGCCTTCCAGAAAATCCTGAGTCATCAGGGATTCAGTCAGCCACTTCAAAAAGCCCGTCAGTCAGAACAAGAGCGGTCAGCACGTACCCTCATTCTTCTCCTGGATGGTGAGGCAGGGAATTTTTCAGAAAGGAATCAATCACTCCCTTACTACTTCTTTAAAAAGGAAATATGTAAAGTAGGAAGAGCAGACGTACAGAACTTCACCATGTGCCATGGACTCTGTGTCATAATGTATACACACATGATTTTACTGTGCTTCACTTTATTGCAATTTGCAAACACTAGATTTTTTTTTTTTACAAATTTGTGGCAAAGCTTGCATCGAGCAAACTATCAGCAACCAGTTTTTCAACAGTTTGTACTTACGCCAAGCCACTGCACCAATTTTTTTAAATGTTTATAATATTTCAAACACTTTTAATAATACTTTTGCGTACTTAATAGGACTACAGTACAGAGTAAACATAACTTTTTTATGCACTGGGAAATGGGAAAATTTGTGGTTCACTTTATTGCAATATTTATTTTATTACAGTGGCCCAGACTCAAAATATCTCTCAGGTATGCTTTCAAAGAATATTACTTCCTGATTTTCCTTAGCCCAATTCAGAAAATGCTAATAATATCATCACTTACTAGTCAAATAGCTAAATGGCTCCATTTCGGACACTTGTTACAGAAAGTGACTTAGTATAAAGTACAAATGGCCCAATCTCTCTTTAGGTACTGGAACCCCAATGGTAGTGTGTTGGGGCCCAATGGCCTATCATAATCTCTGTTCTGAGGGGCAGGGGAGAGAAGTCTATGGTGTGCTATGTAAATTAAATTATGCCTGTTTTCAGTTCATAATTATAATCCACATTCAATATTAATACTAAGTCCAGATAGATCAAATTCCAATGCTGGTTATTATATCCTTTCAAAGGGAGCATATTACAGGGAAAAAAAAATCTTAAAAATAAAATTATTTTATAGGCAAATAGAATTTTAATAGTCTCTTATAAAATATCTTACTACTAGCTATCCACTAGACATTAGTAACTCCTGAAAATGAAAAAGTACAAATACCCCAACACAAGGAAGCACAACAACAGAGGAGTATATTTAATTAAGGAACCCAGAAAGATGCAGAATAGCAATAAAAGAGCATGAATTAGTGAATCAGAAGACTTGAACTAAAATTTAAGCTTGAAGACTTGCTGTT